CATTCGATCTGCAAAAGCTCACGTGAAAAGGAGAAAGAACATGGACAATCCAGCGACTGGAAGAAAATATTTGTAGACCACATATCTGATAAGGGTCTCTGTATATCTAGAATTTATAAAGAATTCTCAAAACGCAACAGTAAAAAAAATCCAGTTAGAAAATGGGCAAAGTACGTGAACAGACATTTCACCAAAAAGAATATACAGATAGCAAATAAGCACATGAAAAGATGTTCAGCATCACTAACAAGTCAGGGATAGTAACTTAAGATCACAATAAGATAATGCTCTATACCTGTGAAAACACCTAAGATTTTTTTAAAAGTGAATGCTGTCAAGGCACACAGATGAAGTGGATCTCTCATACATTACTGGTAAGACTATAAAATGGTAGAGTCGCTCTGGAAAATAGTTTGGCAGTGTCCTTTACTTTTATTTATTTATTTTTTTGGCAGTGTCTTAAAATTAAACATGCAAGGGCGCCTGGGTGGCTCAGTCGGTTAAGCATCTGATTCTTGATTTCAGCTCAGGTCATGATCTCAAGTTTTGAGATTGAGCCCCATGTCAAGTTCTACACTGACAGCATAGAGCCTGCATGGGATTCTCTCTCTCCTCTCTCTCTCTCTGCCTCTCCCCTTGCTTGTGCTTCTCTCCCTCTCTCTCTCTCAAAATAAATAAACTTTAAAAAACAAAACTAAACATGAAATTAACATATGATCTATCAATCACACTCCTGGGCATTTATCCCAGAGAAATGAAAATTTACATCCACACAAAACCCTGTGTACAATTGTTCATAACAGCTTTATTTGTAATGGCCAAGAACTGGAATCAACCAAAAATTCTACAAATACTGAATGGTTAAATAAAACATTACATTCATACCACAGAATACTACTCAGCAGTAATAAGAAATGAACTACTGAAATTCAGAACAACTTGGATGGATCTCAAGAGCACTGTGTTGAGTGAAAAAAAAAAAAAAAAAACCTCAAAAGGTCACATACCATAGGAATCCTTTCATGTAACATTCCCAAAATGACAAAATTACAGAGATGGAGAAATGACTCGTAGTTGCTAAGGGTCAGAGATGGTGGGGAGGAGGGGAATGGTTGTGATTATTATAAGGGAGAGCAAAAGATCTTTGTGGTGATGGAATAATTTTGTATTTTGCGACGGTGGTGATAGGAATCTACATTAAGTGCTAAAATGGGCATGGAGCTATACATACTTTATATCAATGTTGATTTCCTGGATTTGATGTTGTACTATACCTAAGTGAGATGTAACCAATGGGGGGAAAGTAGGGTAAAGGGTATATGGGACCACTCTGTACTATCTTTGCAATTTCCTAAAACTGGAATTATTTTTAAATAAACTTTGAAGAATAAAGTATTAACTTCAGATATTTATATCACTTACTTAAATTATGCTCCCACTTGATTTTTATGTGTAAGCGTCATTTTTAAATATCTCTATAAGTAGGGGCTCTGGATGGCTCAGTCAGTTAAATGCCTGACTTCCACGCAGGTCATGCTCTTGTGGTTTGTGGGTTTGAGCCCTGTCTCGGGATCTGCACTGACAGCGTGGAGCCTGCTTGGGATTCTCTCTCTGCCCCTTCCCCACTCATGCTTTCTCTTTCTCTCAAAATAAATAAACTTTAAAAATAAAATAAAATAAACATCTCTATAAGTAGATCAATAATCTTTTCTGCTAATTAACTGTAGTTTCAATGATTTCTGCTTGAATGTTGAAAAACATGTTTTATAGTGAGCAGCTCCATAACTACATGACATTTCCAAACTAGAAGGCATTCTAATCTCAGGATTAATTAAAATAAAAGCTATCTGCATTTAACTAGTATTCAGTTCAAAAAATAAGAGGTAGTGGGGCGCCTGGGTGGCTCAGTTAATTATCTGCCTTCGCCTCAGGTCATGATCTTGTGATTCGTGGGTTCCAGCCCTGTGTGGGGCTCTGTACTGACAGCTCGGAGCCTGGAGCCTGCTTCAGATTCTGTCTCCCTCTCTCTCTGCCTCTCCCCCACTCACAATCTATCTGTCTGTCTGTCTCTCTCAAAAATAAATAAACATTAAAAAAAATTTTTTTTTTTTTTTTTACATTTTATTTATTTTTGAGAAACAGAGCAAGACAAAGCATGAGCGGGGGAGGGGCAGAGAAAGAAGGAGACACAGAATCCGAAGCAGGCTCCAGGCTCTGAGCAAGCGGTCAGCACAGAGCCTGATGCGGGGCTCGAACCCACGAACCGCGAGATCGTGACCTGAGCTGAAGCCGGACGCTCAACCGACTGAGCCACCCAGGTGCCCCTAAAAAAATATTTTTTAATAAATAAAAATAAGAAACAAGAAGTAATGGTATAAATCTGAAAAATCATGCCACAATAATAAAAAAATGTATTATCGAGTATACAAAGACAAAAGCACCCTCAGAGTACTCACACAGAGACAATAGTCTCTTCCAGGTCTTCCCGGCTCCCTCTACAAGCCAGTAGACTGGCTTCCTAACCTAACACCATGCCTGGCACACATGAGAAGCCTTCAGTAAAAACTGTTAAGCAAACGAATGAATGACCTAACAGCTGCCTTATTTTTGCCCACTGAAACAAGAAATGTGGGTTTTCAGATCTTGTCATATCCTAATCTATATTTTGAACACTTTTCCACAATAAATTCCTACTTGGAGAGAAAAAGACATTTATACAGATGGAATTTTTCTGAAGTAGAAACTGAATTAGTAATCAAATATACATACCCAAGTCACTGCTACCACGCTTTATAAAAATTACATTTTAATCTGCCTCCCCCATTTCCTAAATCCTCTTCTCAGCATCTATTTATAAACTGCTCGTGTCATAGATTATCCCTACTCTACCAGCAAAGACTTTGTCCTTAGCTGGAGGCCACCCTTGCTTGTTCCCATTGTTTTTTTTTCCCTCACCCTTAGCCCACCCCCAAATCCCTACCACATATGCTCCTCCCCCTCCTCCTCCAAAAAAGAGGGAAAGAAAAAGCATGAGAGAAAAACAGCATTAAATGACCAGACCATGACCAAGCCTTGCAAAACAGTAATGCAAACAAACAACGAATTTCATTGGGCACACAAATACTCAAACACAAGTCTTCACCGTGAGGCATATTACCCACTCCTCAAATACACAATACAGATAACAAAACTGGGTTAGTCACCCTTATTGAATTCATCTTCAACTTGAGAACCGGTAACCTAATGTGTAGATCTCTCAGGATCCTCTGTTCCATGTTTCTTGGGGATGGTGTGGGGATAGGGAGGGTACACATAACTCTGAAATGAGTTAAAAAGAGTAAGGGACTGAACTTGATAGCGACTAACATTACGTGCGAGGCACTGTGCTAGGAACTTTTAAACTGATAATGTTATTTACTGTTCAAAACTATCTATGAGGTAGGCATGATCTACACTGGACAGGTAGGAAAACTAAGACATAAGCGAGAGAGCCAGGTTTCAAACCCAAACTTCCTTACTGAAAACATCTGAAAGCCTATGCAATCTTTTCAATACACTCTGCCTCTCTAAATCCAATTTTGGGGATCACAGCTACCCTATTTCTATTTTCTTTCTCCTAGAGCATTACTACTCAACTAATCAGAGACCTGTTAATAGAAGGAGCAGAGGCCTAGCGTCACACTTGTTACAATTACTCCTTACTCGCTGTGTTACTTTGAATAAGCCAATTTTCCTCTCTGACCCTCAATCACCTTTTGGATGCAGCTTGTTTCTGAGGCTCTTTCTGAGAATAAAACTTTCGGACTCCAAGATGTCTTCTGTGTTGTAAAGACAAACAGAGCTATAACCGCATTGTCTACAATGTATTTTCCAGAGCAAACTCTATTATATTGATTTAATTCTATTTACCAATATGAAACCACCTTCAATTATTTACATTTTAATTTTACTAAAATTACCTTTATGGGGGTTAATTCCTTTGTAAAATTTAATTAAGATTTACCCTATCCATTGGCCTGAGCTTTACTTTTTTGTTCTGACCATGTAACAAATGTCACCAAATACTTTTCGCCACTAGGAATAATTCTTTTGTGGTTTTGATTTCTAAAAACCTCATTTTTCCCAGCGTGCTTTATCCTTCTGTCTCTGGAGGTCTAGAGGTAAGCCTGTAATGGACACAAATGTACATCACCTCCTACATCTAATGTTCGGAAAAGCTGGTCCAGTGCACCCAGTATTTGGTAAACCAAGTCGTATAATTTCGGCGTGGTAAGGGAAGTTTGCTATTAAAATTAAACAGTACTCAGACCGGGGCTTCGTGGATAATCAAGGATAATCAAGGAAATCGTCCCCTCTCTCATTTGGACACACCCCTTCTCTTCCCACTGGGAGCAGCGCTCCACGCGCATCAGTCAGTTTAGGGTTCCAGCAGGCGCGCCCCGGTTGTCCCCGAGTCCAGAGAGCCGCCCGGGGAAGAAAGGGGGACAGGCGACTCGGGGAAGACCCACGAAACCGGGTGGGGCTAAGTCGGGCCTGAGGGCGGGGCGGGCCCGGGGCCGCCTCCACCTCCAGGCCCGCCCTGCGCCACACCCGACCCCGCCTGCTTTCCGCTAACGGGCCGCGGCACCCGACTCCGCCCGCCAGCCCTCACCTTGCCCCGACGGCGGCCTCCGGGAGTCGGCGCCCGCCCGTCGCGCCGCCTCACCGCCGTACCACCCACCGCCTCCTCTGCAACCTCAGCCCACCGGGCGGACCCGGCCCAGGTCACTGGCGGCCCAGGCGCAGGTAGGCGATGGTGCGCATGCCCGAATCTTGAATCCCTATTTGCAGCTGCTAAGCGACACCCGCACCCGAACCGGCCAATCCTGGAGTGGCTTCCCCGCCCAGTCCCGGAGGAGTCCCGAATTAGCTAGTTCTTAAAGGGCTGCCACCCAAAGGCACAGGGGGAGTGGCAGGGGCGCGCGCTCCTCCCAGCTTTCTTGCCATCTGCTGGCTCTCACCCGCTTGGGTTTGACGTTCAAGCGTGTAATTCCCACGTCCGGAGGTGCGAGGAAACTTCTAGGTCTAAGCCCGATTCCTCCTGGGGTAGAGTACAGAACTGACGTGCCGAGACAGGGAGGTTCTGCGTAAGTCCGCGACACGCCCCCGCTGTGGGTTCTGCCGTCTGCGCAGCTGGGCGGGAAGTCCGAGATAGGCAAACCAAAGAGCACAGCCTCCTGCCAGCCTGGATGAGGTGCTAAAGTCCGACCCTGGAGGGACACACCCCAGTCTGGGGGTGGAGGCACTCACAGGTGTCACACGGATGGATGGCCCAATGCAGGGAAGCGGAACTCGTCCATTTATTTTTCGCCCAACACATTTTGAGCACCTGCTGTGTGCCAGGCACTAGGCCTGGCGGTGGGGACACAGTGAGGAACTCCTGACACTAAACACTATGTTAAGAGAAGGCAGAGCGAAAGCACTCATCAATTAAACAATTACACAACATGTGTTGAAATACAAACTGAGATGTGTGCTCTTCCGAGAGGAACAAGGTTTTTGAGAGAAGTTACAGGAGCTTCTGGTCTGAACTTGGGAGTCCGAGGAGGCTTCCTTGAGAACATGACACTATAGCTGACTGGTTGCTCACTAGGCAAAGGGGAAAAAAAAAGAGTGTTTCAGACAGAGGGCGGTTTGTGTATAAAGAACAAGAAGGCGGCAGGGCTCCTTTAGACGGATGAAAAGAAAGGTGGTGCATGAGGAGCTAGTGTTTAACAGGCACAGAATTTCAGCTGGAGAATATGAAAAAGTTCTGGAAATGAATGGTGGTGATAGCTGCACAATAATGTAAATTTTTAAATGTCACAGAACATTTAAAAATGGCTAAGATGGTACATTTTAACTTATGTATATTTTGCCACACCAAAAAAAAAAAAAAAAAAGACAAGAAAAGGAACTGAGAGTTTAGAGAGTAAGGAATAGGGTGAGAGCCACTAGAGAGAATAGAAGAGCTAAGACCAGATAAGACCTTTGTAGGCCATGCTAGAAAGTTTAGGACAGTGGGAAACTGATAAAATTTATCTTGTGTAAAATCACTTTGGCTGCTGAAGTTAAGATCAAAATGAAAAAGGCTCACAGAAGCTCTGGTAGGACCAGCTGGGAAGCCAATGCAGTCATCTGGGCAAAAGACGATGAAGCTGGAGCTCGCTTAGACTTGGACTGGAGCGATGGTGAAGAGGAGGAGAACTGGACAGTCTGCAGAGACATGTAGGAACAAAATCAACAAGACGTGGTGACGAACTGGATGTGAAAGAGTAACAAAGTGGCTTCAAGGATAATGCCACTGTTCAGCCTTGAGTGAATGCGTAGATAGTGGAGGGGTTCCTAGATACAGAGAAACTGGAAGAGGATCTGATTTTGGAAAGAAAAATGATCTCTAGTTCTATCTCAGACAAGTTGAATTTGAGGTAGCCTAGAGACTTCTGGTCCAGATGTCAATGTAGGCAGTTGAATGTACAGGTACAGGTCTGGGCTAGACATCAACTTTTGAAAGTCATCACCACATGGGTAGAAACTGAAGCAGGCCTTACATAGCCAGAGAAAAATTACAAAATGAAAACAGATGACCTCCAGGGATCCCCACCTCCTGGTATTCACACTCTTGCGTGGTCTCCTCCACATTGAGTCAGGGTTGGCCTGTGTGACAAGTGATCATGAGGCTAGGTCATAAAAGGCACAAAAGATAAAAGCAATGAGATTTGATTGATAACAGAGATTGAAACCTCCTCACTGAATGTGAGGGAATCACTGGGATTCCCTCTCAAAGTGTATTCGCAGGTGAATGAAGACCTGTTCTTGTCACCACAGGTCATGAAAACAAAACTCTGGCTTAAATGGGGAAGGAAAAATTGGTGCCAGACCCACAAAAACCAAGAGTTTTTGAATGCGGAGCCTCAGGCTCTCAAAACCTGCTATGTCAGTGCTTTATAAATAGGGCTTTGTGCTCTCTGACGGGTGCAGAGAGAGTGGCTCAGGCACCATAGTGGATTGGGCTACAGGGGTAAGATGTGGTGTCTGGAGTCCTAGCCCTCCTCTCCAATCATTGGTCATTTTGACTCCAGGCTCCAGAGATTTTCTTTTCCAGCCTTCTTCATTCCTCTACTTCCAGGCTCACACCCTAGATTGCTGTATCACCACAGAAGAAGAGCTCCACCTCTGAAGTTGTAAACGCAGACACCTGATCTCTGACTGTCCCTTGGCTGTTCTCAGAATTCTGCCCACTGTTGCCTGGCCTGTGGAAGCCTCCAGTCCACTTGTCCTTCTACTTTGTTGTATGTATCACCTTTCTCCAATCTTTATTTCCTTCTCCATCCACTGAAAGCGCAGGGTTTATCATTTCCATCACATTCTTCCCAATATGCTTACCTCCATTGTGCAGTTTTTCTTCTGTCACATCTGCCTGGGAGCACTCCAACTCAGGAAAAAAATCCAATCTTCTGGCTTCTCTAAATAAGCCCCTGAGCTGGAAGTGCTGCTGGAAAAAAAAAAATCGCACAACCATACAGATCAGTGCTATGTATGTACCTCGCCAGCCTCCACCAGGTCCCCAACACTGCCCGGCAGTCCCATGTTTGCTGGGTTGGCTCTGTCTCCAGCTCTCCCCAACACCAACCTCAAAATCTCCTGCATGCTCCCCATATCTACCACTCTTCAAGATCCCCCTAGCCTCCCAGGTGCCCCCTTCACCGAGGAAAGAGCAGCCATTAAAGTAATAGCCCTCAGTTCCCACCACCTTCTGCCCCTCTACCACCTTCTTTCCTTTTTCCCCTTTATTGCCAGGTTTCTTGGAAACAGTGGCCTGCTCTAAAGACTCCATTTGCTTCATCTTTCCTATATTTCATAGTCCCTGGAAATTCTCACTTCTGCCTCACCACATCACTGAAACCTCCTTCATTAAAGACATTAAAGTTCTAGTCTTTACCTTGCTTGACCTTTCAACAGCATTTGTCATTGCTGTCCTGTCTTGCTTCCTCAGTCACTCTTATTTTTATATGACCCCCCCACCTGATTTCCTCTTATATCTCTAGTCTCCCCACCCCTCCCCCATGCTCCTCTGTAGCCTCTTTTCCTTGGCCATGAGAGAAACCAAGTCACTCTCCTTGGGCAGTCTTATCCACTGCATGGTTCCATTTCCACAGGTGATGCCCCTCAAAGCTTATATCGCCAGCCCAGCCCTTGACCCTGAGTTCCAGACCCAAATAGCCAGCCATAGACTTCTACATCTCCGTCTGACATCACCTTGCATGCACGTGTCCACGGCTGAATTGATCACTCTCTCACTTCCACTCCAACTTCTCCTTCACTGTCCCCTGTCTCCAAAAATGGCATCACCAGTCTCTCAGTTGCTCAAACCAAGACACCAGAAGTCATCCCTAATTACTCCTTCTCCCTCCCTCCTCCATTAATTCACTAAGACCTGGCAAGTCTATTCCGAATGTCTTTCAAATGCACACATTTTTTTTCACTCCTCCACCGTTTCTGGCCTGCACACCTGCAGCAAGTAGCCTTCTCTGTAGTTGTTTGTTTGCTTGTTTTTTAAGGAAAACTCTAAAATGCATCTCTGACTTCACTTCTTTTTTGCCTAAAACTGTCTATAGCTTCCATGGTTCCTAGGAGAAAGTCCAGACTCTGGGTACCAGTCACCTGGGTAACCTCCACTTCCTCTTCATATTGAGACATCTGTCTGTTTTCTGTGGAGCCTTTGGGGACTTTTCCCAGGGAGAGAGCCTTGCTGGGGTTAATAGTACAGGCTTGGGAACCAGGAAGCCCTGAAGTCCTGGTCCAGCTCAGGTATGTTGCCCCACTTTTCTCACTGGGTTTTACTCCTCTGTGAAATGGAATGAAAGCTGCCTCCTCACAGGGTTGACTAAGGGAATTGTGGAGGGAGAGCCCAGCAAAGTAGATGAGCCTGCTCTGGATCAGGGCCACTACTCAGGGAAATGAAGCTCTATGAGGCAGAATTGCCCCCCCCCCCCAGATCCCTTTTGAGTAAAGGCTTCGAAGATCTTCCTCCTAAATGATGTGGCTGCTGTTCACCCTGTGCTGCAGGGAAATCCAGCCTTGTTCCCATGTCCGTAATGGATGGGTTGAACAAGAGAGAAGACTCAACCACTTCAGAGTGTCAGCGGTTGCCAGCAGTAACTATGTGGTCCAGGAGGGTAGGACCAGCTTCCTTCTTTTATCTTGCAGCAAGCCACCTCTGCAGTATGGTGCATAGGCAGTATGGAGTAGTAAGTTAAGAACGAGGGCTCTAAAGCCATACTACCCGTGTACAGATATTGGCTCTGCCCTTAGTGGCTGTGGGATCTTGGGCAGGTTACTTAACCTATTTTCTCATCTGTAAAATGGAGAAAATAACAGTTCTTTTTAGGGCCGTAAACCTAGTGAGCTTTATTACTACCCAAAGGAAAAATAGGTGTAGATACAAGTTTCTTCCTCAGCAAAGAATAAAGCTAACAGCAGTGTTTTCCTACTACCTGCAGGGTTTGGCTTGGCAGGAGGCAATGGCCAGGGTTCACGTTCCAGACGCGTATCTGGAGGCACCAGAGTGATGTCGAAATGGGGAGGAGTGGACTTGGAGCCAGATATCTGGGTTCCAGCCACAATACCCGTGTGACCCAACGCAAGGTGCTCCTGCAGATAGACTACCCAGCGCCTAAAAGGCGAGGAGCTGACGCCCGGCCCCGCCCCCGAGGCTAGCTCTCCAGACTGCGCAAATGCAATCGAGCGCCTACAGCGCTGAGCCCCAGGGGGCGGGACCGAGGCTGACGCTCTGACCATCGCTCTTGCGCGCCCAATCACAAAGGACGTTCCGTCTGTTCCAGTCACCGGGAGGACCCAATCAACGTCGAGAGTGTAGGCCCCACCTAACATGGGTCCCTGCTTCAGTAGTAGTGCGCCTGGGGCTGCCTGTTGGCTCCGGTTTAGATGCACGGTGGTCCTCAGGGCCTGAGACCGGGTTCCAACCTGGCTTCTCGGGATGTCGGTGGCCTTCGTACCGGACTGGCTGAAAGGCAAGGCGGAA